ATTGATTAATAAATGTTCTTTATACTCACAAACTAAATGAATGCGAATGAAATGAATTTAAACGTAATGGTAAATAAGTATTTATAGTCTTGATTTGTGAACTTGTTTTTAATTCCATTGATTAATAAATGTTCTTTATACTCACAAACTAAATGAATGCGAATGAAATGAATTTAAACGTAATGGTAAATAAGTATTTATAGTCTTGATTTGTGAACTTGTTTTTAATTCCATTGATTAATAAATGTTCTTTATACTCACAAACTAAATGAATGCGAATGAAATGAATTTAAACGTAATGGTAAATAAATATTAGCAGATCAATAAATAGTCTTTATACTCACGGGCTAAATTAACATGTATAATAAATATTTATGAGATTATAATAGTTTACATGTAGATTAATAACATGTAGATTAATAAATAGACTTACTCTCTAATAATTAAAATCGGATAATCAATATAGTATACGAAATTTCCAAATTTAAAATAAAAATTAGAATGCATTATAATAAAATATGAAAATTAACATATTAAGAAATAACATACTTTTTAATCCATTCCCAATATTTATTTTTATTCTCATCCACGCCAATTCCATAATAGTAACAAATGGCAGTATTCCAAATTCCATTGGAATTACCTGCCTCGGCAGATTTCAGATAATATGTAAATGCTTTATGCTTATCAATTTCAACTCCAATTCCTAGGTAGTAACAATAGCCAACTTGATATATCCCCTTAGGATAATTCGCTTCTGCTGATTTTTGATAATAAATGAATGCTTTGTTTTCATCCTTTTCGGCTTCAATTACATATTCATAACAATAACCAAGCCTGTACGTTCCGTCTGGATCATTCATATCTGCCAATTTTTGATATTTAATAAAATTATCCGTGATTTGAGAAATATCATCTGATGAATTCATAGTTCTTTTTTACTAATCGTTCTTTTGTTAAGCCTTTTTTTGCTTAAAAAAAGAAAAAAAGAAGTAAATTTATTATCCCTATCGCTATATATGTATTTATTATACGTGTACGTATGTATGTACTGTCGTACAAATGGATGTACAATATCTGCGATATGGTAAGTAATTAACTCTAAATCATACTGGCTCAGTTTTACAACCGATAAACATCAATGCTTATTATTCGCGAGATTAAGTGGCTGATCTCGAATACGTATAATACTTAGATTAATGCGAAGTGATAATGGATCACGTGATCGAAAAGTGAAGCGGCACACCCGCGCCACAATCCGCAGGATTACTCACGAGAAGCCGATTCCGAAACAAGAAGCTGATTGAAAGGGAAATCACATGCAAGCATGCTGCTTCATATGATAATGACATACGAACAATGCAAGCCTGAACAATAGTGAGGAAACACTTAATAAAAGGCCACAGCATCGAAAATCGGGTTCCCTTGGTGTCAAACCCGATCGTTTAGACTTCTTTTCGACCCACCCGACCCACCCGAGATTAAAGTCGGGACGGAATTCTACCATTTCTCTACTCTTGTACTTCTCTACCGTATATTCGGTATTTTTCACCTGCTTCTCTGCTCACAGCCGGCCTGCTCCGTCAGGCGGGAAACCACCGGCTGACTAATACTACGGCGACTCCCAGCGCAATGATTGTTGCAAACTTTTCGGGATGTCATTGCCGTTCTGGCTAATCTGCCATCATGTACTAAATTCCATGTTACTGCTTTAATAAAAAAATGCCTCCGGCCTAAATAATGCCGGCATAGCCCAACAAGAGTAGTGTAAAGCGATACTTTTCGTATACTTTATTGTCCGGAGCGTAGCGGAGGACACTCTGTTTTTACGTCTATATTTGATCTACGCTGTCACGTGCATTCCGTCTGTTCGTTTCTGCATCTCTGATTGGTTGTCAATCACGAGCTTATTGATAATTCAATCAAGCGATTATTTAGCATTTCCTAGTACTAGGGTTCGAGGCACAGAGGCATGGGCATGCCACTTGGCTGTTAGGCATGCCCTAGTCATGTGATATATGTTGTATCTGATTGGCTAGCATGTTGGAAGTAGTCGAGGTCATCAGAGTTTCGATAATCATAATATTTTCAAGTTTATTTTTTTAATACCTTGCATTTATACGATTTGGTGCATAATAGCAACTAGGTGATCCATAATGAGAAGTTCTGTAAAAAATGTTTACAGTAATCATGATAGAAATCATGAAAATTTTAATACAAATTTATCTTAACTACATATTGTAGTCACCAGAATACAAAGTCAGTCATGATAGAATTCTATACCAGAATTTTTTACAGTAACATAATAGAAATTATGATAATTTTAATACAAATTAGTTAAATCTTAAATAATTATATATTATGTGTCGCTGAAAAATTTCTTACAATAATTCACAATAAAATTACTATAACTTTGACAACAGAAATTTTTTATATTAAACCATGGTAGAAATTACAATAACTTTAATATAACATTTCAATAAAACCAATAACAGATTTTTTTATAGTAAGGCCACTCCAAATTGATTCTTTGTTTAACATAACATAAATATTTTGCAAGAGGGGGAGGGTAAAAAATCAACAACAACCCTAAAAAAACAGCAATTCTATTGGCTGAACAAAATATAAAAATTTTCAAAAGCCAATACTGCAATTTGATTGGTTAAACTAGTGTTTATTTTATGTCTAAAATTTTAAAAAATAGAGGGGGGGGTTATGTTAAACATAGAATCAAATTGGCGTGGCCTTATATTAAAAATTTTTATTTAAATATAGCACTAGTAAACTACATATAGTTTGACCAACATAATTGGGTTGCAAATATTTAATTTTAGAAATGGTAAAAAAATATACTATCAAACAGGAACATAGCAAGGATTTATAAATTATGTTGTACGATATATATAAAATATTCGGTATACTGATTAAAAAATAAAAGTAGATGTTTACTGAGCAAAAAAAAAAAGCGATTTAGTGTTTTCTGTGACCTGTTATCAAGATCTTGACTATTTGGGATTTTAAATGTTAGAATCTTGAACTATTAATTGTCGGGATTTTGAACTGTCAATATTTTAACTATTCAGGATTTTAAACTATCAAGATTTTAACTATTCGAGATTTTGAATATCGGGATTTTGTCCCTGTCGAGATTTTGTCTTTTTCGAAATTTCGTCTTGTTGGGATTTTGTCTCTTTCGGGATTATGCATGTCGAGATTTTAACCTGTCGGGATTTTGGGTTTCGGGAATTTGGGGTAGAACCTGACTCCAGTTCTTTTGCTACATCTTCTAAAGACTTGCAACCTTTATCGATTAATCTCTTCGCTTTCACCCGTCTTTTTCAATAAAACAAAATATAATAAATACAGCTATTCGTAAAATTTGTATTCGACTTTGTAATTTACCCAATTTTCGGTAACTTTGTGAAAAGGTTAATTAAATTTCTTTCATAATTGTCATTTTCCCACAGTTGAGAACAAGTACCCTATTGTGAATTTATATAAATTAACTGTGTATTCTATATTAAGGATATATACCAACGTATAAAGTACGAACCGTATTTAAAATCTCGTCTATTTTTGCAGAAATGCTATAGCCGACACCTTTTAGTTTCCGAGCTTCTTCACCAGAGGTTATTCGTTTAGGATATATAGAAATTGACTTTATCGCAGTATGATACGCTCGTTCTCGGTAAATGTCTCCTGCCTTTTTTTCTTTTTTTTCTAAGGCTTATGATTATTCGACCGCCATATTCAATGTTTTCAGAAAGCGTATTTGTTTAATCCACCATGATTTTGATATAGTGACCGAGAATTAATCAATAATACCCCGGGCCATATGTGTACAAGTGGAGAATTCATTTCGCTTATACCCAACAGTCCGGGATATTATTATTACAAACATATTTCTTGAAGTCACCCTATTCCTCTTTTACCTTTTAAAACTTTTGTGATATTCTCATTTAAATTTACAAAAGACTCAGTCGTGTTGTTGTTCGCCGATGGTGCTTTTCCAGAAAAATTGTTTTTTATAGCAATAGTCCTCGTTATTTCATTAGTATGTCTATAGAAGCATTTTGACCATATTATCGGTAGGAATTCACCCGTTGATAAAACCCTGAGAAGATGCTGTGATGTCAATATTTCTGTAAAGAAATTAAATTCTAATAACAATTATATTATCTTTGTTACCGCTTAACATTAAAAACAAGTCGTTGGAATGTCATTTAAATAAGATTTGGATTAAACATTATCGTTATTAGAATTTCATGTTATATACGCGGCCACGCGACTCAAAAATGATTATCAATTTGTATGGGGTGCAGATTATAACAATTCATACAATTCACTCTACCTTATCTATTACGTATAAAATGTCTTCAGAAAAAGAGTCAGTCCAATCAGAAATAACATTGGGACGTCAGTCTTCTCCTTCAGTAAATGAAGGAACTTCAGTAAATGAAGGATCTCCTTCAGTAAGTGAAGGATTAAATAAAAATAACCAAGATATAAACAAATTGACTGAAGAGATGTTTCTTAAAGTGGCTGATTATTTAAAGGGAGAGATCTTAGGTATTTTATTCAACTAGTCTACGCTAATAGTTTTTGATGCTCTTTCTCCAGCTTCAACATTCTGAGGCTCGATTGATTTATTTTTAGTTAAAATTTATAGCTACAACTGAAGATTACAAACTTTTAGAAACAATGAATCAAGTTACGCGGGACCGGTATCAAGAAATGTCTAAAATGGCACAAAATTTGGTTGTAGAAATGGCCAATTTTCAAAGGATTTGTATGTCTTTTTAACTTTAAACAATTTTATGAAATTAATAACAATCGATTTAATCGACTTGCATTTGCACCTATTAGACACTAGCTTCGAACCATATATTCAACAAATTGATGAAATATGTGAACAAGTCGATTTTTTGGAAAAAGTTGCTAATGAATTAGACGAATATTCAAAAGAATTGGGTATGCATTTTTCTTGGTGGAACAAATTATTATTCTGACTTATTAATTAAATCTTATCATACTATTTAGAATCGCGACTGAAGAACTTGACTAAATAGATATTCATAGATCTAACGTTTATTTAACCCAAATTCTAAGCAAATGATAAAATAATTTATTTAGATAATATATAATTTCGTGTTTTTTGATAACACACATATATATATTCGGTATTATGCAGCTATAGGTTAATGGGTTTACAATTTGAACTTGCAAATCTATTCCATACAACAAATGTATGATAAGATTCTTAAATATATTTTAAAAACATTTGTTAATACTCGTTATTGTTGAATGATGACCTAAGTCATAACTTTTTTTGATATGATCTTGGTCATAATAGGTCATTTAAATGCAAATAAAATTTTTTTTTTTTATTAATTCTTACTATATTAAAAGGCCATAAACCTTCGTTATGACTTATGACGTTGGTAATATACAGAATATATATATTTGATTCATGATTAACATATGTCATATGTCTCTCTGAATTCCTGTTAATTACGATCAGGTGATTTCGGAAACGATAACGATAACAGATATAGTGTGATTATGATCTGACACATGATTTCTACCATACAATATATTTATATGCAAGATGGATGAGCAACTGGCATCGAGTTTAAAAAATTTTTTCATATGAAAATATAAGTGGATAATCTATATATATGCGTTAATTCATCTCTTCCAAATCTTTAATCATAGCTATTACAAAAATGGCATCGAAACTAAATATCAATTCTTCCTTCGTTAATAATGATAATGTCAAAGAAGAATTATCCTATGTACGACATTTTTTAAAAACTGTCCAAGAACGTGTCGAAAAACTTGGGACAGACGTAAAGGAACTTTTTAATAAATCAGACAAAGAACAGGCTACTGGAATAAGGATGGTAATTATGGGGCCGCCTGGAGCTGGTATGAATTTTTGTAATAATAAATAATAAATAATAATAATAATAATAATAATTATAATAATAATTATAATAATAATAATAATTATTATTATAATAATTATAATAATTATAATAATTATTATAATAATAATAATAGTAATAATTATAATTAATATTAAAATTAATATTATCATAATTATTATTACAATTACTTTATTATTACTACTTACTATTCTTATTATTATTACTATCATTAATATAATTTAATTTCTTCCTAATTGATAACTTTACTAATCATATTATGTTTTTATTTATTAATACAGGTAAAGGAACTCAATCTCCAAGAATCAAAGAAAAATTTTGTGTTTGTCATTTAGCTACTGGTGATATGTTACGTTCGCAAGTAGCGGCAAAAACGAAACTTGGTTTGGAAGCTAAAAAAATTATGGATTCTGGAGGTCTGGTATCTGATGAAATTATGGTAGGAATGATCCAAAATGAATTACAAAATAATCCAGAATGTAAACAAGGGTTCGTTAGGATTTATTTTACTCATTCATATATATTTGATTGATTATTTAATCGAGGTTTCACCAATACTTCTATCACGTCTTTACTGTGACAGCTTTATTTTAGATGGATTTCCTCGTACAGTACCCCAAGCGGAAAAACTTGATGCCATGCTTGAAAAAGATAAAAAAAAACTTGATCATGCCGTCGAATTAGTAATTGATGATAATTTATTGGTTTCGCGTATCACTGGTCGTTTGATTCACCCATCCAGCGGTAGAACTTACCATAAAATTTTCAAGTAAGTTGCATGATATTATAGTAAAGTGTAAGAGTTTCTTATAATTAACTGACTAATTTTTTAAAGCCCGCCAAAAGTTTCTGGTAAAGATGACGTAACTGGCGAACCGTTAATTCAACGTGCAGATGACAATGCTGAAACCTTAAAAAAACGTTTAGTGACTTATCATAAGCAAACTACACCTGTGGTAGAATATTATAAACAAAAAAATATCTGGTCTGGTGTAGACGCATCTCAAAATCCTGAAGTAGTTTGGGCGAGTTTATTAGCTATCTTCAGCAACTCTAAGCAAAATTAGATGATAATACATTACAAAAAGTTAGTTTAATGAAACAGCACATTAAATCACTATAATATTCATGCATTCTAGTCTTTCTGTTGGTGGTATGTTGAAAGTGCATTTTTCCTGTTTAGAAAAAAAGCACTCTTAAAACTGACGGCTATCCTAGACGATATCATCCCTTATAGGGAACGAACTTCCAATTTAGATATAATAATATATTATGTATTTTAAATTTTACTTTGCGCTAGTATAATTTTATGAATTTATTGTTAGCCATGTGACAATCTATTCAAACTATTCGTGTTATTGAATCTGGCAGACTATTTAATTTTGCCTAATGTAATGAAATTGAAATCTTTTTACTGATTACACTATTTGAGCGTATAGATTCGCTATAAAAAATCAATAAACCTGTTTTCATCTTAAAAACACATGGCTAGGTGACAATGACATGGCCACTAAGCGCGGGTCAAGGGTCTGTCAAGCTACGTACGTACATAGAGGGATCATATGAATGAAATGTGCCAAGGACGCCGGTTTTTTTTTAAGATTAAGAGCGAATTTTATTTTGGATTTGGCCGGCATTAAAAAATTATTCATAATTCGTGCCACATCACATGATTCATTCCAAAATTTTTCGAAATTTTGATATGAATTCAGCCAAATCAGATTAGCAGACAAGATGGAAAAACAGTGGACCCAAATTTTCACGTTCAACATTTGTTTCGCATCATATACTGTACTGTATGTTGTAGGCAAATGTCAGATGCATTTATTCACATGATTCCTCTATGGCGCCCAAAGACCCATAAAAATTTGTATATAGATTAATACAAACTATATACTACAAATTTAGCTTTATACAAATTAACCTAAAAGCAAATTCATGTAATAGTTCAATTTTATGTTCAAAATTTAATTGGCTAATAATGCTAGATATCAGGCAGAATTAAGAAATATAAAATTTTTCAAATTTTGAAAAAGAAAAAAAACAATTATACACAGGATGTTTAAAACCTGGGTATAATTTTTTATACAAATTAACCCAATTTTTATAAAATAAAATTTAGTTAGTATTAGAGTTAAGATTAGTAACTAGAATTAAAAAAAAGTATAGTTATATACTGTTTATATTAAAATTTTATAAAAATTTTTTTTTAAAATCTTTAAAATATTATTAGTTTTTTATTTTTGTTATAAGGTAAGTAGATATAATTTGGCAAATAGAAATAATTTAGTAAATACTATATAAATAATTTAATAAATCAATACTATAAAAGAGTTGTAGTGATCTAGTGTAATAGGTAGATTGTTATCCTTTTAAGCTTCTTGTCACTAAAAGATACCAAGTTTAAATCTTATTTATGATATTTTAAATAAATATCTTGTATTACAATAATTGATTTTTATTGATTAGTTAGATTTTAAAGCCTGTAACTTTGGTTGAATTAGTGCATTCTATGTATTAAAAGGTTTTAGAAATATTTATATAACACTGTTATATAAAGAAATACAAGCTAGTTTAGATAGTGCAAACTTATATAGTAATAAATCTTTTAAAACTATAAAAAACTAAAAAAGAACTAAAAAATTAAAAACTGACTTAAAAAATTCCAAATAAAAAATAATATAGATTTTCATTAGTAATATAGAAAAACTTTAAACTAAAAACAAATAATTAAATCAAAAATAAAGGCATAAAATACCCTTATAGAGAAAAGTAAAAAATATCAACCAAACTACTAAAATACAAGCTAAAAAAATATATATATTACAGAAGTATATACCAGAGTTGGGGCAACTATAAACTAAAAAGTTTAGCAAATCTGATTTTTTAAATCAATAAATTAGAAGTTCTGAAAGCTAAAATGAGAAGTCTATAAATTAAAAAAAGAAAGTATAATAGTACTAAAATCCGAATAAACTTTGTAAAAGCAGAAGTAAATAACTATAAAAATAACCTTTGAATATATAGATTAAGCCATAGTACAAGTTATTAAAGAATAGATAATATATATAGAAAAGTTAATAAAAACCAGACAAATTATTTTTAGTAAGTTTTTTTAAAACTTTAATTGATAATCCATTTGTCACCTGGAGAGGATCTGCAAAATTTTATTTACTATTGGCCCAAATGTAGTGTGCATGCATCTAAAACTTTTTTTTATACTAAGTTAATCACTTTCTAATTTAAAAAACTTTGTCAAAACACATCTAATAGTGGTTAGAGCATTAAAATCGGCTTGGTAGATGCCAAGATATCTTTAAAAAACATTTTTTTTACTATGTAAACTTCTTTGCAAACAATAATATTGTTTACAAAGAAGTTTATATAGTAAAAGAACCGTTTTTTAAAGATATCTTGGCATCTACCAAGCTGATTTTGATGCTCTAACCACCATTAGATGTATCTTGACAAGCTTTACAAGAGTTTTTTAATAGGCAATCTGCCAGTTACCTGGATAAAAAATTTTTTTTTTTATATATAAATTTTACTATAAGTGCAAATGCACAGCACTTTTATTTAAAACTTTTTTTTATACTAAGTAAATCACTCTTTGGCTTTTAACAAAAGTTGTAGAGCTCATCAAAATATATTTAA